AGCCCCCAATAAAATGATTTTTTTTTAATTTCCTTTTCCAAAATAATAATAATAACTTCCTTTTCCAGCCAGAAAAGGTCTTGTGTAGATCCTAGATCCAATACTACTGTCAGTCAGTAAACTTCCTATGTGGTGTTAGCCAAAGGATTCTGTTAGCTCCTATGACAACAACTACGTCTCCTACATACATACCCAAACCACAAATTCTATAGTATATATTCCAACCAAGACTTTTCAAGGATAACACTATTTCCAAAATTAAGTATGGTTTCCCCCAAAATTTCCTCCTCTTCATTCCGTCTCAGTATACTTAAGCAATACATGTTGAACCAAATAAAAATCAAATTCACCCTATTTCCCCCCACTCATAATTATTGAATCTTGTATCTACCTCTGAAATATTTCTGCAATTAACTTATTACCGTATCCCTACAGACACTTTTTAGACACCTATCTGTAATTTTAGTTATTACAAAAACCTCCTAACCTGTCTTTCTACATCAAGCCTCAGTTTTCCTCCATCCCTTGTGAATTCCATTCTCTACACAGAGCTTCCGAAACTGTGTATCGCATAGACCATATGGGGTTGGGTAACCGAATGTGAGGGCTACAAAAATTTTGGCAACAGTGAAAGGTTTCTGAATGCACAACAACCAAACACTAATTCAAAAATCAAAAACACAATGAGTACGAGATATTTTTGGCAGTGCTTGTCCATGTTGCAAATTTCTTGGATGAAAAGGGGTCACAAGTGGAAAAAGTTTAGGAAACCCTGCTCTGTAATAGAATGATCTTTCTAAAATGACAACTTAATCATGTTTCTTTCCTGATTAAAATCCCGAAACCTTTAATTATATAAAGGAAAAAAGATCTACAATCCATAGAACAGCACACATGCCTTTGAGAACATACCTGTGAAAGCCAATGCTCTAGCTATAAAAAACAGTTCCCTTTCTAAAATCATACCTTTGTCCAATTTACCCTGATTTCAATTTCTTTCTCCCCATTTTCTGCCTCAGTCATGCCTAGGCCTTCCTAAATTGTAATGATATATAGTGCCTGACATATAAACCAAAACCCAACAAGGTGCCATACAGTGTTTGCAATCCCATGTGTGTCAGATCAGAACTGTGCCTCATAGGGTTTTCTTTCTTTTTGTTTAAATCATTTTATTGGGGGTTCATACAGCTCTTATCACAATCCACACATACATCAATTGTGTAAAGCACATTTGTACATTCGTTACCCTCATCATTCTCAAAACACCCGCTATCCACGTAAGCCCCTGGCATCAGCTCCTCATTTCCCTCCTCCCTCCCCACCCCCCCTAATCTCATGAACCCTTGATAATTTATAAATTATTATTTTGTCATATCTTACACTGTCTGACGTCTCCCTACAACCACTTTTCTGTTGTCCGTCCCCCAGGGAGGAGGTTATATGTGGATCCTTGTAATTGGTTCCCCCTTTCTACCGCACCTTCCCTCCACCCTCCCGGTATTGCCACTCTCACCACTGGTCCTGAAGGGACATCTGTCCTGGATTCCCTGTGTTTCCAGTTCCTATCTGTACCAGTGTACATCCTCTGGTCTAGCCAGATTTGTAAGGTAGAATTGGGATCATGGTAGGGTGGGGTGGGGTGGAGCACTTAACTAGAGGAAAGTTGTATGTTTCATCGTTGCTAACCTGCACCCTGACTGGCTCCTCTCCTCCGAGACCCTTGCTTCATGGGGTTTTCAATGGTTAAGATCTTTCTGAAGGAAGTTGCCAAACCTTTTCTCCAAAGTGCCTCTCTGAGAGTATGCAAACCAACAAACCTTTGATTAGTGGCCCAATACTTGACCATTTGCACTAGCCAGGGTCAGGGTCTCAGTAGGGGGTTAAAATGGATTCATCAATGTCTTGTCTCAATGCTTCTGTTTGCTACAGGATGAAACTGCAATGACTTCAAAGGCATACAAACATTCATAATCTGGTCTCCACCTATCTCCCCAGTTTCATATCTTGCCACCATCCTGCACTCCAGCTAACTATACAAACTCGTTGCAGACCCTACAACTCCCTATATAATTTTAAACTCCCAGGCTCACGCTGTTCTATCTTCCTAAATGCCCATCCTTTTTATGCCTGTGCAGTTGTTTTCAACACTTAGTAGATGTACTCTTGTTACCACCTCTTCATCCCTCTTCTCCTCCTTAGAGAAAATGACCACTGCTTCCTTTTACACTCACGAGATCCCTACATTTTTTGTAATCAAAGCAATCTTTAAATTGTATCATACTTCCCCCAATAAAATGATTTTTTTAATGTAATATACTTGCTGACAGTTAAAGTAAGGGAGAGAGGTTTACCACCCTGAAGGCAGGGATGCTGAGTATTCTTGATCTGGCATGGTACCTGCTCTATAATTCCTCTTTTTATAATAATCTGAAGTTTTCCTTGTCCCTGGTTACATATACTAACATATGCTTCTATCAGGGATTTTCCTTCAAAAATGAAGAAATAAACTTTCAGGTTATGTTCTGGACTCAATCTTCCCTTGCTTAGCAAACAACTATACATACATACAGATGTGTACAAGTTAAAATCCACTGCCATCGAGTGAATTCTGACCTATTGGGATCCTATCCAGGGTTTCCAAGATTATAAATATTTAAAGAAGCAGACAGCCTCTTCTTTCCCCCTTGGAGTAGAGTAGTTGGTGGGTTTCAGAGGTTAGCAGCCCAACACCAAACTCATAGCACCATACCAATTAAAATAAATGTATACTGTTTTAACAGCTTTATTTTTTTAACAACTTCATCCAGATATACGATAGTTCAATCGGATCAAGAATTGTACAATCATTATCACAATTTTCGAACATTTTCTTTTTCCTTGTACTAATTATTTGTGTAATTATTTTTAATTGTGGCAAATATATATACAACAAAACATCCTCCAATTCAACAATTCTGCATGTATAATTCAGTGCCACTGATTATACTCTTCATGTTTTACAACCATTTTTTATATCCTTTTCCAAATGACTCTACCACCATTAACATAAACTCAATATCCCCTAAGCAAAAACTCTTCCTCCTTCACCCATGGTAACCATTGGTCAGGTTTAGTTTCTTCTTTTTTTTTTTTTAGTATTTTTCTTGATATAATATTCACATATCATACACACTTCCATGGTTAAATCGCTTTTTAAAAGAGTTGTATATACATCATTAAAATCAATTCTAGTGCTCCCTCCCTGCTAATGTGTACTTTCTGATGCCTTTCTAAATTAAAGAAGTGGTTCCTATAAGATCGATAATTAGAAATATTTTGATAGCAAATTATATTACAGTTTAATGCTTTGTTAACAAGATATATTGTGAATGAATTACTTCTCCATGGTAACTATTAAATTAGCCTACCTGACTTGGCTCTCTGGGTCACGTTGAAAAGTAGGAACTAATCTACTTTCTACCTGTTCCTACTGCCAATACACCTTACACTAAAACTGCTCATTTTCAGGAGAACACCAGGAACTCTGGTGGTATAATGGGTTTATGTGCTGGCTGCTAATGACTAGGTCCAGTTGGAAACCACCAGCCACTGAGTGGGAGAATGAGTAAGCTTTCTACTCCCATAAAGATTTAGTCTCTGAAACCTGCAGGGACAGTTTGTCCTGTAGGCTCACTGTGAGTCAGAATTTACTCCGTGTCAGTGAGTTTGGTTGGATTTTACTCAGACAGGAATTAGGAAATCACCAAGGCAATTTGACGGAAAGCGAGGCTACCTTTGTCATTCATGGTCCCGCTGATGTGCTGCTATAGGGAGCTCTGAAGAGTTTGCATTGACTCAAGACCAATGAGTTTTTGGTTTGCCATAGTGAGTACCAAACCAAAAGTGGGCTTATCTCATGTTAGGTGCCATCGAAACCATGCCAACATATGGTTTGCACATGGAGCTGTACTACAAAGGGTTGGGGCTGTGCCCTTTCTATCAGGCCTGTCCTCAGAGGCATCTTCCAGGTAGGTCTGAAGTGTCAACGAAATCGAACGCTTAATCATTTTCACCATTCCCTGGTCTACTACTTATTGCCACTTAAATCTTTTTTGCATAACTGCTCAAGCATAATGGAATGCTCCTCAAAGTACAGCAGCATTAGAATATGCCCACTCCACTAAACGAAAAGTTCAGTATAGGTTTTTATCAGCGTGCTACTGCAATATTCATTCTTTTATAAGCCCACTCAAAATACCACGAATTAAGAATATTTCACTATATTCAAGAAGTCTCCAAGGTCTTAAAGGAAACATGCTTGCTCAAAAGGGATAATCTGGAGAAATGAATTTCAAAACTTCCGCCCAGTTTGATTCAGGTAAGGCTGGAGTGTGGATTATTTCGTAAAGCCAGTTTCACGCTCAAGAATACACAATAGAAAAAGAAAGAGAGAGAGAGAGAGAGAAACCAACCTCAATGAAGAGTATTTGGGTAAATGCTTACTTGCAAAACAGTGGTGAGAAGTATTCTCAACTCCAGCTCTGTCAATCCGCCCCCCCACACGCACACACCCTCAAACTTGAACTAAGTACTCAGCAGACCCCCAGGGGTTCAGTGCCGGCGTGGGAACCACGGAGAACCCTGTCCTAGTCCCTGGAGGCAGGACTGGAGGTACAACAATATTTGATGGTGATGATACCCGCTCTCCTGGGCCCTGGAGAATCAGGGGTGCTCACTTTCTAACTCCTCCAGTCCCCGCGAACACTGAATCACGAATTCAGATCCCATCGCGGGGGGCTGTCCGGGAAGTGGGATACGCCGGCACCAAGCAAGTGGGGGGACCGGGGAACCCAGCACCACAGACAGCCACGCCCCCAGCCCCCAATTCCAAGAGGAGAGCGGCGGAAGCCGCGCCCGGCACGCTGCCTGTCAGCCTCGGAGAGAGGCCGGGGCCGTGCGGGACCCCTCGGCTCGCGAGGGGCACGCAGCAATTCGGCACGCGACCGCTCCACGCGACTGACCTGGGAGAGCTGCCGCGCGGCCGCCCGCTCCGCCGCAGCCACCGCCTCCGCGCGCTCACGCGGCCGTCCCAGCCACCGTAGCCGCCTCCCGCGCGGCGCCCCCGGCCGACCCCGGGAGCCCCATGCCGACCCCGCCCAGCCGCCGCCTGTTTACAATGACTGAGACCGACCCGGACGGGCCCGCCCTGTGCGCAGGCGCATTGCCTCCCCCCGCGCAGCCGGTTTCCCGGGTCCCGGTCGCCTGTGGAATGACTGCTAACGCCGTGAAGGGCAAACGCCCGTAGCCTCGCGCGGGGCACGCCGGGAGTAGTAGTTCTCGCACCGCCGACCTTCTGTCTTCACGGGGCTTCGCCGAGGGAAAGTACACTACAACACCCAGGAAGGGCCGCGCCCGCTGAAGCCCTGGAGCTCCCGTCGGGGACAGAGGTACACGCGAAAGCGCGCGCCGTGCTAGGATTGTGCCGACGCCTGCGCAGTGCGGCTGGTGGGCGTCAGGGTGGGCTGTTCCTTCGCCCTTAAAGGTACTCGTGAAGATGCTCTGGGACAGCGCTTGGGGTGATCTTGGAAGAAGAAACAGCCTTTCTTTCCACGCTCTGAAAACTCTGCCTTCAGCTCCCGAAGCTCGGGTCTTTTGTGCCCTCGTGCGTCAGTTAGCTTGACCAGTTAAAGGAGCCTGGGAGGTTGGGCAGCTAAGTAGGCCTTCAACTGGATGGGAAATCTTTTTGCATTGGGTGGGAACCTTCACTTGGGGGTTTAGAAAAAGGAAGCGCCGAGGGCCAGTGGGGGACCACCCACAAAATTCCTAAATTAAGTGTTGACGGAGCCAACAGAATTGCTAGGCCTTTTTGAAAAATTATTTCTTTAATCGTTTTATTAGGGGCTCTTACAGCTCTTATCACAACCCAAACATACATCAATTGTGTAAAGCCCATTTGTACATTCATTGCCCTCATCGTTCTCGAAACATTTGCTCTCCACCTAAGCGCCCCCCCCATCAGCACCTCTTTTCCCCACCCTCCCCTGTCCCCCTTCCTCATGAACCCTTGATATTTTATAAATTGTTATTTTGTCATATCTTGCTCTGTCCAACGTATCCCTTCACCCACTTTTCTGTTGTCCATCCCCCAGGGAGCAGGTCACATGTAGATCCTTGTAATTGGTTCCCTGTTTCCAACCTGCCCTCCCTCCACCTTCTCACAGAATTGCTGTCATACCACTTTGTTTGGATCACCGTTTACAAAGCAATTTGAGTTAGAAATGCCCAGCCATATGTTTAGCCCGCAAATAAGACTGAATTCTGAGAACGAATGAAAAGAATTAGGTTTCTCCAGAAATCAGGACTGAAAGTCCTCCCCCAAGTCCCCTACAGCATATTAATTGCTTGAAATCCGCGTTTGTTTGTTGAAGTGTTTTAGAAAATTTGGCAACTTATTAAGAGAAAGAAATTATTTAGAATAGATGAGGCTTTCAGATTTACAGGCTCCAAAACCCTAAGTAAGGATCCACACAAGATGGAATCAAGTTGATGGGGTAGGTTTGTTGTTTGGGGGCCAGGGGAGAGGGAACTTCACAAGCACATCTATTCGCAGTGGTAACAGCAATCTGTGCTGCACGATACCTCCTGATCACGTTTCCTAAAATCTATCAAATTTGCCTTATATACTCTCCGTTGCCTACTCTATAGAGTGAGCCCAGGGAGCCCTGGTTACAGAACTTGCCTAACCGGAAAAGACAAAACCACTGCCATGGAGTTGATTCCAACTCAGAGAGACTGTATAGGACAAGGTAGAGCTGCCACTGTGGGTTTCTGAGACTAACTCTTCATTGAAGGATAAAGCCTTTTTTGCTGCAGAGCAGCTAGTGGGTTTGAACTGCAGACCTCTGGTTGTGTATTAAAAATTCTGAGCACCCCAGTTTTCAAAAGGCCTTGGATAGCAGTTAACATATCAAAATCCATTTGCAGAGTCCCCACATAGATTAAGCCTCCAGTGAACTCTTACTGATCATGAACCAAAACTCTGCCATCAAGTCAATGAAGGGTAGAACTGCGCCTGCGAGTTTCCTAGACTCTGTTCAAACGGGAGAAGAGAAAGCCTGAGAAGAGAAAGCCCGGTCTTTCTCCCTCCCTGAGGACCTTTAGGAATGCAGCCCAAGACTTGAGCATCACACCATCAGGGACCCAAGGATATAGATAATCTTGCCCTCAGGCAGAGTGAATTAGAAAGTAGATTGCCTCCACTCCTCTCCAGCCATCCCAGGGTGGGGCAATCTCTCTTTGGGCCTTGCCTGGGTGTGTCCTTGATGGAGGTCACCTAATGGGGACAGACGGGGGACACAGTCGTGAGTCATGCTCTACCAATCTCACCCTGAGTGCCTTGGTTGGAGGCCACAGATCAATCCTGTAAACCTTTCTAGCAGCATAATGTACGTGTCCTGTACCTGCTTCTGCAGTCCCATGTGTAACTGTGATATATTAATGCTTTCCTGACAATTTCCTTTGGCCTCCCATGCTCTTAAAGCTTTATATCTCAACAAAGCTTGGACATCATTTGGTCCTAGTTATAATAACCTGTGCCTGTGTTTTTGTCTCGTTTATGACTTAATAAAATGTTCACCTTAAATAAGTTAGAGATGGAGTCTCTTTTGTACCGGAAAACAGCTACTACCCTAAAATTTGGTGGTTCAAACTTACCAGCCCCTCAGTGGGAGAAAAATGTGGCAGTCTGTTTCCATAAAGATTGCCACCTTGCAAACACAAATTTTACTCTGCCTTATAGAATCTCTGATTTGGATTCCACTGGGCATCAATATGTGTATCTTGTTTGCTTCATAGTTCAACCTCAAGATGACCCTGAAGAGCTTCCCACAGATAACTAGATAATGGGGCAGGTAGCCATCCTGAATTTCAAAAGCTTTCTCTTTGCCCTTTCACCACTGGGATAGACATGCTATGGTGCCAATTTCAAGAATCTCTGCCTTTGGCAATACTTATTAGGCCAAGGGATGGACACTGACCTGACTGGGCATTAGGAAAATTGTTATGTGGGCGATGAAAGAAAGGCATAAATATGTTTTTTCTGTTGACATTCCCTGCAACATAAGAGCTCTGTCCTCAGTAGGAATAAAAAACAAAGGTCCAAAAGGCAAAATGAGAGAAGGCGAATCTGCCAGCATGATGACTTGTTTCCATCTTAGAGATTTTTTTTAAGTGGTATGAGTATGTGAATCTAGCTGGGACCAATATGCTCACTTGATAAAGGGCTAATTTTTGTGGGCCTAGAAATTATTCTAAGTCATTTAAATCAGTTACTTAACATGGCTTATATCAGGGAAGGTAGGTGTCAGGTGGCAGCCTCTCACCACGCTGACTCAATGTGTACGCTGGGCAAATCATTGGAGAAGCTGAGCTATCCGAAGAGGTGGCAGCAGGATGGAAGCAAGGCTCATTAACAACCTGCAGTACTCAGATGACACCACCTGCTTGCTGAGCGTGAGAGGACTTGAATTGTCACATCCGGGTCTCCAGACTAATCAGGGCCACACCAAAAATGATCAAATGAAAAGCTTTATTGGAACAGGTGGCCAGGAGTCCGCTAGCGCTCAACATCTCTTGGCCCGAACACTACTCAAACTCCAGTTTACGAAGCAACAAAATGCGTGTGGGGACTTCGCATCCAAGCACGATGGCACACACTGACTAGGGAACTTCCTGGCAGTATTCCTTATGGGTGTGGGCAGAAGCCCATCAGAATTTTTAATCCAGTGGCTCTGGGCAGGAAGACAAATGAGGAAATAGCAAGCTTAAGCAATGAAAAAATACAGAAGCAAGCATCAGCAGGTTAGCAAATGAGCCTCAGAGTACTTCAGAATCACCTGTTGATGAAGATCAAGGATTGCAGCCTTCAGTGTGGATTATAGCTCCATGTAAAGAACACTAAAATCGTCACCACTGGACCAATAGGTAACATCCTGATATATGGAGAAAAAGTAAAAGTTGTCAAGGAGTTCATCTTGCCTGGATCCGCAATCAGTGTTCATGGAAGCAACAGTCAAGAGATCAATAAACACATTGCTTTGGGTAAAGCTGCTGCACAGACCTCTTTAAAGTGTTGAAAAGTAGAGCTGTGACTGAGGGTTGAGGTTCACCTGTCCCAAGCCATGGTATTTTCAGTTAGCAGCCCATTGTCTAGCCCACAATGCCACCACAGTTCATTACTACACATTCTAAGTTGTCACTCAGATACAATGAAAAACTCAAAGACCACTTTACAGGAACACATTTTGAGTCCATCAAGGATACCACAAGTGCCATTTGACGTGATATGAATGGAAAATCAGAATTCTTTGCAAGAAAGGCTATGCAGATGAATCCAAGGTTGGCAGGTAAGATTGCTGGCACAGGCTACAGAAGCTAATACACCCCAGGTTTGGCTTAAATCCAAAGAACTGGCGATCAGTAGATGATGAGCCAAAGGCAGGATCCAAATCTAACAAAAGAGCTTTGCTGGCACATCTATACGTACCGGAAGCAGCACATTCCCCCAAGGAAATTCCCTTTGAACTGAGTGGCTGCTCATAGCAGATCTCAGCATTATATCATTATATCAGATTCACTATATCAGAACAACCTTACCCATCATAGTTCATCCCTTCTCAGCTTGCCACTGATACTCATCTTCTTAGCACATACATAATCGCTTTTAAACAGTAATTAAGTTTACTCCCCCCAACCTGATATAACTAACTTGTGTACACCCAGAAACACACTAGCCTCATTTAAATCTTCTATTGCATAAATGAAGAAAACAAAATCTTTGATGCACACATCAAAAGAAGAAATATTATAACCGTTACAGTCATCACTTCTGTAGCTGTTAACATGGTGTTGGCTGGTACTTATAACCAATAACTACCTACTTCCACCGCTCATCCCATATTCCCTTTGCCGTCTGCAAGCACCTCACCCGATCCCTTGTCTGATGGGGTGGCTCAAACCTTCATTCCTGAAGGATCTCAGTCATTAGTAGTCAAGTGGAAATTGGTTTGCTATCGTGTTCCATTGACTTTCATCACAGGGCCTGGTGATTAAAGATACATCCTAGGGATCCCTCTTGTGTTCTATCAATACTCTGTTATGTAATACCAATCAGATTTCCCCTTTTTAATCAGGGTTGATTTAGAG